CTATTTTTGTTGTCTTGGAATTTCTTGAGTGTCTCCTGTACATTTTGGTTGACCCTATCCAGTATCATCTCTATATAAAATTCTCATTGAGTACCTGTAGTATGTCTTCTTTGAAATTATTCTTGTGGCCTTCATTGGGTCCTTTGGCATAGTTTATCTTCATTTTGTTGGAGTCTGGATCTGAGTACCTGTTTTCTTCATTCCCCTCTGGTTCCTGTACTAATTTTTTGCTGTGGGGAAACTGGTTTCCCTGTTTTTTCTGTCTTCCCATCATTGTCTTTGGTGTTGTTACTGTCCCTGTACTATGTGCAATTAAGTATTTTCTAGCTTGTAATAATAACAATGGTAATATTTAGAATGGAAGGGTGAGCTGAGATGGAAAGCAAGAAGTTAAAGAAATGGGAAAAACAAATACAGACTGGAAGGAGAAAACAGAACAAGGTATCAGACAAGAAGGTTTCAAAGGTATAAACAGGGAGCTTTAGTGTACTAATCAACAGTAAGCTGAACATACATTAGAGAGACAGAGAGAGGATTGAAAATCATAAATATAAAAAATAAAGATAAGAATAAAAATAAAAAATAGGTAAATAAAAGAAAAATTTATATATAAAAATGTATTAAAATAAAATGAAAAAATAGAAAATTAAAAAAAACCCCAAACCAAAAAACCTCCAAGTTCAAATGCAATGAAGTTTCAGTCTTAATAATTTGGGTGTCCGTCTCAGTCTCCAATCCTGGAGATGGTGCCTCAGATGTTGTTCTGTATTTGTCTCATCAAAGGGGATGCATAAAGTAGAACAAAACTACACACACACGCACAAAAAAAACCCCACCAAGTGTCCCAAGTTCAAATGCAACACAGTTTCAGTAAGTTTTTCAGCATGCAGGTGTAATTCAGTTGTTCTCTCATCGAGGGTAGGGAGAAAAAGAAAAAAAAGAATCTGGAGACAGTTCTGAGAATGGTAGCTGCAGCTGTGGCTTGCCTGCCCACTGCTGTCAGCCTGCTGTTGCTGGAGGCGTTGTTTATGCAGATCTCTGGGGTGAGCTTAGCATGCTTCCCATGCATCCTGGTGGAGCTGAGCTCATTCTAAGCCACTCAGGATGTGCCATCCATTACGACAACGGGCACGCTCTCAGTGAGAGCCAAGGCCACCATTCAGGAGTGACGCCAAGTAACTGAGTCGTCCTTGTTTTCTAGGGGGGGCCGTCGGGGGCCTGTTGGGAGCCTGGATGGCAAGGGGGCAATTTAAGCCCGTGCCTCAGATCCTCATGGAGCTGCCTCCTGCTGAGCAGCAGAAGCTCTTTAACGAGGTTGCGGCCATTGTCAGGAACTTAGACTGGATGGACGCCGTGAAGCTGACCACGCTGGTCATGGGCAGCCAGGCCCTGCAGCAGCAGCTGGTGGCCATGCTGGTGAACTTTATCATCAATGGGTTGGGGGCCGAGATTCGCTATGATGACTAGGCCTCTCCCCCTGGGAAACGGGGGGCTGCGGATAGATGATTCTGGGACCCTTCAGAGGTGACCATGGTGTTGGGGCTACCTGGCTGGTTTCCCTGAGAACTCTGCAGTGTGTTAGCCCCAGGTGGAGGAGACAACCTGCTGGAGAGACCACCAGTGTGCTGTGTCATGCCAAGCTGGCATTACAGGTGTGCACCCCCACACCTGACTTCAATAAAAATTTTGAATCAGTGTCTTTAAGACATTTAATATGCAACTTCTTCAGTGCGAAGACATGCTCTCCCATTACAAAGTCAAGTTTCTCACTCCAACATTACTGAGCTGCTAACTGAAGAAGCCAGAATTTGATCCCACATCTGTACAACCCCAATGCCCTCAAACACTGTACAGAGGCTTTCAAATTTATGGGAACTGGTAGTTCTTGAATTGTGTTACATTATATATATTTATTTATTGGTGGGATTTGAACTCAAGGCTTCATGCTTGCAAAGCAGGTGCTCTACTTGAGCCACACCTCCAGTCCATTTTGCTCTGGTTATTTTGGAGATAGGATCTCATGAGCTCTTTCCCTGGGCTCTCCTAGAACCTCAATCCTTCCAATCTCAGCCTCCCTCATAGCTAGGATTAAAGGTGTGAGCCACCAGCACCTGGCTTTGTTCTCCAGAGGCAATCTGTGAGTTTTAAACTGTTCTTGAGATTTAAATCATGAGTCACATTGGGTAGTGTGATGAAACCTCACACCATCCTGCTCCATCATGCCTGGGTCATGAATCACTTCTTTGACCAGTGTATCCACACTGTATGCACTGCCTCCCCATCACTCACTCACCAGCCACCTCAGTTATTAGGTCAACTTGTAACCCCTGTTGTGGTCATGTTCAAGCCAGCCTTATTTCACTTAATAAGAGTGCCGGAGCTCAAAAGGAAAAGGAGGCACCATGTATAAAATCTGGAGGGTCAGACTATCTGTGGTACTGTGTTAGCAACACTACAGGGCATATAGGAAAAACAAAAGTGTGGCCAGGCCGCAGGGGTCCACACCTGCAATCCCAGCTACTCCCGAGTCAGAGATCAGGGGAATCGCGGTTAAGAGCCAGCCTGGACGAATAGTTCAGAAGACCCTATCTCAAAAATACCCACCACAAAAAAGGGCTGGTGGAGTGGCTCAAGTGGTAGAGCGCCTGCCTAGCAAGCGTGAGCCCTGAGTTCAAACATCAGTACCACCAAAAAGAAAAAAGAAAAGAAAAGAAAAAGTGTGAGATTATCCTGCATTCAGGTAAATCCCAAGGGGGTCGGTCTTGGAACAGAGCCATCGTGGATGAGGGAGACTACTGCATGCATCTGGATCCTACCTCTTTGCAGATTTGGGGTTTTTTTTTTACTGTGCAAAAACTGTTGTAAGAATCCACAGCCATAATTCTGCAGAAAACCCATTTTAGGAGTGGTGTCTGGACCCTGAGTGGGAGCCAGCCTTACAGACCAAGAATGCAGAACTCAGCATCCTGGAGCCCCTGCAGCAGGAGTCCTGGCACCCTTCAGAGCGGCTTTCCTGAGACTTTTCCAGTGCAGTCGACAGATGCTAAGCTGGGTATAACAGACAGAAGCTACACAGTGACCAGGTGTTTTACAGTGGGACTTTTTGAAAGGTTTCACCATTGACTTGGTTGCATTGGCTATCGCGATGAGCAGTTGAACTAAAACTCATTTTGACAGCCTAGCTTTTCAGGATCGTGGCTCCTGGGTAAATCAGGTAATGCCTTCTGTCTCCCTTTCCAGGTGGCTTCCACCATGTTCTTCTCTGTGATTAAGATGTTATTGTCATGATGTTTGTGTGTGGCCAACTTCTGAGCAATAGAGGAACAGAACAGGGTTCTCTTCCAGGGGGAGGAGGGGGAGAAGGCATTTAATGTTCCTGGATGCTGATGGACAGGGAGGAGTCTAGAAGCAAGACACAGAGCACTCAGAGTAGGGACAGGTATGTCTGAGTCCTCCCCTTTTCTCATAGTCCATGTGCCATGGAGGACACCTGTCTGCAACTTCTGAATTCAAGGACTGGGTCACCTATCCCACTCTTGATGTCCAAAGTCAGATCCGAAGACCTCCTGGGGTTGTCAGAAGTGCAGAATCTTGCCAGGCGTGGTGGTGTACCCCTATAATCCCAGCTATTCAGGAAATAGAGGTAGGAGGATTGCAGTCCAAAGCCAGCTCTGGGCAAAAGTAAGATTCTGTCTGAAAAATAAGCGAAAGCAGGCTGGCGGAGCGCCTCAAGCTTAAGAGCGCCTGCCTAGCAAGTGTGAGACCCTGAGTACAAACCCCAGTACCGCCAAAAGGAGGTGCAGAGTCCTGCTGTACCACGCTGGTTGCCTTTAACAAGGTCTTACATGATCCTGTGCTTTTGTGGGCGTTCTTGACCTAAAGCATATCAGAAAGAAAGAGGAAGGGACATTTGGGGGAGGAGCCCTGGGTTCTAGAGGTCTGGGAGCCACGGATTCCCTCTAAGGGCTGGAAACTCCCAGAATTGACAGGGCAGTTTGACATTGAGACCCCTGGTTCTGGATAACCACGGAGTCAGAAAAATCTCCTATTACGAAAAGCCGTTAACCAACGGTGCCACACCCTTCCTCTGTCCACCTCCTTCGGCTTTCCAGCTGTGCAGAAGGGGACATGCTGACGGAGCTCTGGTCCCCAAGTTCCCCGAAGTCCAAGGACACAGCTCTGATTTCTCTTCCCAGCCCTAACGTTTGGACTCCCCTTTCCCACCCATCACTTGGTGGACAGAGCCCTCACCTCACAGCAAGGTCAAGTTTCTTCACCCCAGAGAATTGATCTAAAGGTCTCTGCTAATGGTCTGTCCGTCTGTCCATCCTTCCATATGGCAAGCGCCTGCGATTCTTTGATTTACTTTATTCTCTGGTGGCTTCATAGAACGAGTTTGGACATCTTGTCTGCTCCTGACGTCCCATGTGTAGGGTCTTTGAGGAACAGGTGTTCAAGGAAGCATGCTGGCACAGAATGTCCACTTCGTGCCATCAAACACGCACTGAGTGCAACATCCCCGACTCAAAACAGACATGTCACCTCCATGTGAGGTGACATCTTACAAGAATCCAGCCTGTGAAGGTTTAGTCTGCTGACATTGTGCTCGGGGCTGCACAGCAGACAAGTGCCAGAGTGGTCCCATGGTCCCGTCCTTTGTCCTCCTCTGGCACGGTGTTAGCTCGGATGCCCTGGCATGTGAGAGAGGACACCTGACTGCGACTTTCCGGTCCCTGCCAGGCTGTGTGTGCTGAGGATCACAGGGGCAGTTGAAAGGGCGCTGGAGCAACAAAGGTTAGGTTCACTCCCTGGTGCAGAGCAGCCTAGCCTGTGGCTGTCATAAATGAGAAGCTTATCAGAAGGCAGAGACCTTTGATCCACTCTGCTGTTCCCTTTACTTCTCAGCTAACTGCTGGCCTGCTGCTCTGAGACAGAACACTTGCCACGGTGTAGCCGACTGTCACACACTCGGCTGAGCTGCTTGTTCTCTTAGATCAGCCAATATGCCTGTCAAGGTGCAAGACGTCATGAAGCTGCTGTGCTCCATCTCTGAGAAGAGGAAGATGAAGGCAGCTGTCAAGCACACGCTGATGGGCGTCCTGGTCACAGGGGCAGCAACCTTTGTCGGTGGTTTAGCTTTTGGGCCACCAGGACTAGCTGCTGGTAAGTGTGGGTGTCTCACAGAGACAGCAGCCTGTGGGTGTCATAAGAAAGTCTTTGAAGTCAGGGGCCGGTGGCTTACGCCTTGAATCCTAGCTACTGGGGAGGCAAGGATCAGGAGGATCGCAGTTCAAAGCCAGTCCAGGCAAACCCAATCACATAACCCAATCACAAAAAAAAAAAAAAAAAAAAGAATGGGATAGCAGAGTGGCTCATGGTGTAGGTCCTGAGTGCAAACTGCACTACTGAAAAAAAAAAAAAGTTAAGTCTTTGGAACCACAGGAGGAAGGAGCTTGTAAGAGCCATGCCCCTCGCCCTGTGTGTGGAGACTGTGGAGGGCAGGCTGCTTCTGGGAAATGACCCTTTGTGTGTCATATGTCCTGTTAGAAATACAAGCTTGTAGCCAGGCACCCATGGCTCACACCTATAATCCTAGCTACTTGGGAGGCTGAGATGAGGAGGATCGTGGTTCAAGGCCAATACACCAAAATAGTTGGTGAGACCTCCATCTCTAAAATAACCAGAGCAAAATGGACTAGAGGTGTGGTTCAAATGGTAGAGTGCCTGCTTTTTGAGTGTGAGCCTTGAGTTCAGACCCCAGTCTCACCAGAAAACAAAACAAAAAACCAAGAAACAGAAGAGAGCTGGGTCTCCGAGCTCCTGCTATGAGCAGAGCCTGTGTGACACTCCCCTTCTCAAAGCAAAACATCCAAGGCTGGAAAAGCAATAAACAAGACAGCCTCCCTTTACTCGTAGAAGAGTGATCTCTACCTGCATTTTAACACCTGCTTCCATCTGGGAACCAGCTTCAGCAATGAATGGACGTTCGGCTAATTTTCCTATTGCTCCTTGGAAATAAGATGGATCTATTCCCTCTGGATTGGGGACTGTGTCACAGGCCTCAGGCTCAGGGCTCCAGCCCAACCATAGTGTAGGATGGACTCAGAGAGCTGGCTGACGCCCAAGGGAGATGATATGAAAGGGCTGCCTCCAGGCAGCCTCTGATGGGCATCCTGTGACTGCTGGGCACCTGCCATGCCTGGCTGGCTAGCTATTTACTGAATGAATGCCCTGTGCTGGGAGGCAGGGCTCAGAGAGCTCACAGTTGGAGGTGTGAAAGAACAGAAGACGGGAGCCCTTCCTGTGTGACTCACAGTCCCCCCAGGAGTGCAGGCTGCAGAGCCCATTTTCTTGCTGAAATGCACTCCCATTCCCCAGCCAGCTGACAAGGCTTCCTGCTTAGCTTTACCCTTTGGTGGCAGGACTGTCATTCAAAGGCACTTCATGAAGCTAAAGTTACCCTAGGGAGAAAACAAAGCATGTGGGTGGCCCCAGACCTTCCCCGAATACATACATCTCCCTTCCTGTGAGTTCATCAGTCCTGACTTCCCCTTGCTGCCATCTGGGAAGGACCCAGACAGGGAGCAGATGAGGCCATTTCCTTCTTCCTCAATGACATTCTGAGTCTCTGTGTCCCCCCACTCCCTTCTCAGTGCTCATAGGATAACTGTATCCTATGGCTGTGCCCTGTTACCATTTTGAGAGTCTGTTATTTTATTCAGATTGAATAAAAGCTGGCAGCATGTCCTGCAGGGAACTCGGGGATTCACCATGTCCAGTCCCCCGGCCACGGTGAGAGCATCGCTTTACCCAGAAAACAAAGGACTTTTCTCTTCTACAAAGAGCGAATTTGCTGATCGATATTCCTGGGGATGTTTTGCACCGAGTGCTGCTCTAAATCAAATATTGATGTCCCTCTGCAACTCTCGCCGGTTCAAAGCATTTCTCGGGTGCCAAGGGGAAGAGTTCAGTCAAACCTGTAAATTAGCTGCTTTGCCCTCCCCAGAAGGCTTCAGAGAGACAGCAAAGAGCCTTCAGCCTCCAGGACTTGAGCTGGTGCTGGTCTCAGTGCCAGAGGAGGCATCTGCTCCAGGAGCTGCCTGGGTTCTGCTGCCTGCCATCTTCTTATTGACTTTATTTTTTGCTGGTGGTGAGGTTTGAACTCAAGACCTTGTGCTTGTGATGCAGGTGCTGCACCACGGGAGCCATGCCCTTTCTTTTTCTGTTTTTTTAAATCAGATTGGGTCTTGTAACTTTTGCCCAGGGCAAGCCTCAGACTGCTATCCTTCTCCCTCTGAATAGCTGGGATTACAGCTGTGCTTCACCGTACCTGGCTCCTGCTGTCTTCTGAGCGTAGCCTGTATGCAGGTTCGGTCTGCCTGAGCTGCATTATTTATTAATTAAAAAAAGAACTGAGAGAGTCTTGAATCATAGCCCAGTGTGGAATGGAACTGACAGTCCTCCTGCCTCAGCCTCCTGAGTGCCTAATTACAGGTGTGCACCACCACGCCTGGCTACGCTGTTTTAAAAAAACAAACTTTTCATTTTGGAATAATAATAGATTTACAGAGATGTGGCAAAGGTTGTACAGTGAGTCCCCACATATCCCTCACCTGGTGTCACTTCCCCCAGTGTTAACATGTACTATGATACATTTGTCAAACCTGAGGAGCCAGCACTGACTGTTACCTTTAACCGTTTTCCAGTCTTTTTGGTAGGATTGGGCTTTGAACTCAGGGCTTCCCTTTTTTTTTTTGCAGTACTGGTGCTTGAACTCAGGGCCTTCACCTTGAGCCACGTCAACAGCCCAATTTTTTGTGATGGGGTTTTTCTAGATAGGGTCTCTAGAACTATTTGCCTGGGCTGGCTATGAAGCTACGAACCTTGATCCCCCTGGGATAGTTTTTTAAGCTTTGTTTCCTATGACAGTGATAGTTTGAAGAGGCCTGACAGGTGTTGTACAGAATGTCTGTCTGGGTCCTTCCGATGTGCCTGTCATGTTTGGACTGAGCCGTGGGTCTTCGGAAAGAATTCCTTGGAGCACAGTGTTTTCTCTTGCATCAGGGGACACAAACGTGACCTCACAGATTGTGTTGACCCTGACTGCTTACTGAAGGTCATATGGGCTGGGTTTTTCCATTGTCAAGTAAGTTTCTTTTTCCCTTTCCATACTCTGTTCTTTTGGAGTAAGTCACAAAGTCCAGCAGGGTTGTATCTTTAAATATGATTGCTGCTATTTTAAAACTGGCAAATCTGATGTTCTGAGTGGCAGCTGCTCCTTGAGTCAGGGACTTGGCCAGGCCCCCCAGGTCACACTGGCCACCCTGGCTCACTTCTCATCACCTGCCCCGGGACACCTGCCTCAGCCTGTGCTCGGCCTGGTGAGGAGGCCGGTGCCATTGTACAAAGCCTCCAAGTTGCAAAATTAGCAGCAAGCTTGGATTCTAAACTGTTCGTGTCCTTGTTGGGTAGCAGAAAGAGAAACTGTGAGTTTCATTTCTTATTTGTCATCAGACAACTTGGAAGAATGGTTGGAAAAATGTCGCTTCAAGAGAAAGGACCCTTAGATTGCAGGTGTGGCTCAAGCAGAACACTTGTTTAGCAAGAGCAAAGCTGTGAGGTCAAACTCCAGTTCACCAAAAAGGGGGGGGATATACCCATATATATTTCTTTCTCTCTTCTGTATGTATATGAGAGAGAGAATGAAAGAAAATGTGTGTGAGATTGAGAGAGCAAGCGAGCAAGAGGAGAGGAAAGACCTTATCTGTCCCCAGGGTCCTTTAACCATGGCAGATCTCTGGAAACTTCTTAAGCTCCAGGACAAGTGTCCTATCACCTACCAGCTGCCCTGATGAGCAATCATGACCACACTAGAGGGGGGTGTCCTGGAAAACGCATGTCCTTCACAGCCCCCTCCTTTGTGGTGAGAAGGGGCTCATGTGGTGTGTGTGTGTGTGTGTGGGGGGGTCTCTTTGGCGCATGGAGAGGCACAGGCCTGCAGTGAGATGGGGTACCCCTCAGTTTGCAGAGCGGGGGTGGGGGAAGGGCACATTGAGGTGTCAGTTATCTGGGTCAAGTGCACCAAAGCCCACGTTAACTTTTGCCTCCCATGCATCCTGGTGGAGCTGAGCTCATTCTAAGCCACTCAGGATGTGCCATCCATTACGACAACGGGCACGCTCTCAGTGAGAGCCAAGGCCACCATTCAGGAGTGACGCCAAGTAACTGAGTCGTCCTTGTTTTCTAGGGGGGGCCGTCGGGGGCCTGTTGGGAGCCTGGATGGCAAGGGGGCAATTTAAGCCCGTGCCTCAGATCCTCATGGAGCTGCCTCCTGCTGAGCAGCAGAAGCTCTTTAACGAGGTTGCGGCCATCGTCAGGAACTTAGACTGGATGGACGCCGTGAAGCTGACCACGCTGGTCATGGGCAGCCAGGCCCTGCAGCAGCAGCTGGTGGCCATGCTGGTGAACTTTATCATCAATGGGTTGGGGGCCGAGATTCGCTATGATGACTAGGCCTCTCCCCCTGGGAAACGGGGGGCTGCGGATAGATGATTCTGGGACCCTTCAGAGGTGACCATGGTGTTGGGGCTACCTGGCTGGTTTCCCTGAGAACTCTGCAGTGTGTTAGCCCCAGGTGGAGGAGACAACCTGCTGGAGAGAACACCAGTGTGCTGTGTCATGCCAAGCTGGCATTACAGGTGTGCACCCCCACACCTGACTTCAATAAAAATTTTGAATCAGTGTCTTTAAGACATTTAATATGCAACTTCTTCAGTGCGAAGACATGCTCTCCCATTACAAAGTCAAGTTTCTCACTCCAACATTACTGAGCTGCTAAATGTAAAAGCCAGAGCCCTCAACTACCATGCAGAGGCTTCAAATTTATGCCAGCTGGTAGTGACATTTAAGTGGTGTTGACCACCACGCTCCTCCCAAGAACTAGTGTGTGTGGTTTCTGGCTCTGTCACTTCACTTGGTGTTAGGTGGGTCACCTCCAGGCCCTTTCTTAGGTCTCCTAAACAAAGCTTGGTGGCATTTTCCCAGGACTCAGCATGATCCACAGTTTATGTGTAACCAATAGCTTCCCATCCAAAGAATCCCGTATCCTGGCACCGGTGACTCCTACCTGGAAATCCCACTACACAGGAGCAGAGATCAGGAGGATTGTAGTTCAAAGCCAGCCCAGCCCCACAAAATTGTTTGAGAGACCCTATCTCAAAAACACACATCATAAAAAAGGACTGGTAGAGTGGCTCAAGGTGTAGGCTCTGAGCTCAAGCCCCAGTACCACAAAGAAAACAAAAAACAAAACCAAAGAGCTCTTTCTTACTGGCCCTACTGAGGCTGTCAGTACTTCTCCTTGGGAAAGAAAGCTACTTACATCTCTCAGATGGTGTCAATGTCTCCAGAATATTCAAGGCACCGACAAGATGTGAGGGCGATCTGGCTGCTACATCTGTCACCCCACTGATCGCCAGGGTTGATTCGGCTGATCTGGCTGGCTAGGCGGGTGTCCCCTTCCTCCCTCACCACTCTACATGGGTCCCTTGTGAAGCTGCCCACTCGGTCAAAGAGGACGACCATCCCGGGTAGGGGAGGACCGTTCTTTGGTCAAGGGTACACGAGTAGCTGCGCTCCCCTGCTAGAACCTCCAAACAAGCTCTCAAGGCACTGTCATGGCCAATCCCTACCAATCAGGGGAAGGGCCTGGTGGGCAGGTACTGCAGCAGGTTCATAAGTAGAGGCCCCATCTATACTCCCAAGATCAGTTTCGAGCAAGCGTGGGCCACATGACAAAAACGAGTAGACTAACTCCCAAGAGTTAAGAAGATTCGTTACCCAAACGTCAATTTTCTCCACGTCACTCAAGAAAATGTCAGCATGAGTTGTGAGAGGCGATGCGGGAACACACAGTATAAGCTGGCTTTGTGTTAGACCTGCACTTTTTAAAAATGTATTTTATTTTTTGGCTTTTTTTTTTTGAGACAGGGTCGCACTTTGTAGCCCAGGCTGGCCTCCTGCCCCAGCCTCAAGGGTGCTGGGATTGCAGGCGGCCTGGGCGTTTTGCTTCTCTGAATTCCAACCCAGCCTTTGTCAATCTGTCACCATGAACTTACCAACTAAGAGTTTCTCACCATTCCCACCCCCAACGCCCCACGGACACTTAGTCATCGTCTACCCGCAGGGTGAAGGGCCAGACTTGACACTTGCTTTCCTCACAGCCAGTCATGCCAGGATGTCGTGTCCTGTGGTCCTCTGGCCAATCTGGACTGAATCCAGTGTCACTCGCTCTCGCTTCCGCCGTCCTCTGAAGACGTGCTGCTGTGTGCAGCCACCTCTGCCACTTTGCCGGACACACGTTTAGAACTGACAACTAGAAGAGTGACCCCTTATTAATACATGGTAAGCGCAAGTACTTAGTAAATTCCGCATTACTTTTGTCCATGCACAAAATGGCCCTTGGGCTTCAGCTCTACTGTCTTGCCCTCAACTTTACACTTCCATTGTTTAGGCAATAGACAAGCAGGTGACATTTGTCTCCTGGGAGGAATACTGACAGAGTGTGATCAGGAGGTGTGTTTGGGGTAAGGCTCCAGGGTAGAGGGCTTGTCCAGTGTGCATGAGTGCATGAAGGAGAAAAAAGGCATGTTGACGTGTTTGGGTTTGTCACCAAGGGTTAAGCATCACACCAGAAAGAGCACAGTGCACCAGCATCAACCACAGAGAGAAAGCCGGCTTCCAAGGGCTCCATAAGCCAAACCTCCAAGATCCGTTGGAACATCCGCTCCTGTATTCAGGACCCCCCCCAACCCTCAGGGAGCGGGGCTGCAAGTCTCACCCTTGGCGAAGGGGCTGTCCTCGTCACCTTCCTCCCAGTGATCAAAGTCAAAGGCCACATTGGGATTCTGCATGACAACAGCTTGCATCAGGTCAGCCAGCGAATGTGAGTGACACAGCCCCATTAGGACAGGCAGCGGCTCAGCTCAGCTCACCTTCTGCTTGAGCAAGCCCCGCCAGGACTCCCTCCTCTCCTTGGCCAGAGTGAGCACAGGCTCGCCGTTCATGAGCACGCACTTGCAGTCGTCTTTTCTGATGTTGGCCTGCAGCTCCATATCCGCCAAGTAAAACTTGCCTCCCACCCAGGCGCTAGGTTTACAGAAAGGAAAAGAATCGGCCTTCTAGAAGGTGGGCCCAGATCTCATTCACTTTGTGCACACGTGAACCCACCTGAAAACAACTCTATCCCTGAAATATTTGCATTTGTACTCTCTCACGTCCCTTATTCGCATCTTTAAGATGACGACATCATCTTTTTGGAACCACTGTACTTGGGGGTGGAAGCTGGAAGGAAAGAAAAGGCTCCCACTTGTCACCATTTGGCCACAGGGGAAGGAAAGCAGGTGCCCCCTGGTGGGTGGGTAGATGGACGCACCTTTTTAGAGGGCTCGGTTCGGGTCTGCCAATGGAACCATCTCCGGTGTTTTCAGATACAGTTCCTGTGCAAAATCAAAGTCAAATGTCCTTCTGGGTTATTTTATACAAAACTCACTATTTTTTTTTCTGTGTGTGGGCTGCTGGGGATTGAACATAGGGCCTGGCACCTGCTGGGCAAGCGCTCTACCTCTGAAGCTCTACCTCCTCCCAAGTAACTGGGATTATAGGTGTGCAATGCCATGCTCAGCTCACACCCACTTTTTGGCACGGTAGAAAACTTTTGCTTCAGGAATTATGGACATTAGAGTTCATAGTAGCCCAAGTACCCAGTTTCAAAGAATCAGTAGAAAAAAGGAGAATGCCCATCACTTAGTAAAACTGATGTGGTATTTTAAGATAAAAACAAGCTTTAACAAAGAGGCCTGAGGAAGGTTTAAGCTGGACATAAACTTTCTACAGTATAGTTTAGACTCTGCAACCTGAAACAACCAAAAACTTTAACAAGAGCTATGATTCCTAGCAAGTTCACCACAACAGCTCCGAGTGACGAGCAGCCAATGTCTCACTCTAGACTGTGGCGTATGCATGTATGGAAACGGCTGTCACGGCCTGCAATGCTGTGCACATGATTTTCACAGCCTCGCCATGCAAGGAAGCCAGGTCAGTCAGAACCGATGGGGCAGGACTAAGAAGGGTGGTCACTGGTGAGCGTGCGGAAGCTGCCGTGCCTGCACATCAGCAACAGGAACTGGGTGCGGACAGGGAACACTACACAGGGACACACCGAGGAGCTGTCCTCTCACATCTGTGCATGTCACTGGACAACACCATGCCTCAATCATTAAAAGAACTCCGCTGTACCTGAATCGTGAAAAACACCTCTCACTTCACCTGAGTGTGGTACCTGGACGCGAGAAAGCGTCTCACTTCAGTAGTGAGTGCTTACCGGGGCTCTGGTCGTTGGAGTCCGGCTTGGAGCTGGCCCCCTGTTCTGCACCCCTGTCCTCCTGCTGAGCGTCCTGTGGAGGAGGGCCATCGTCTGTGGAGGGAGGCATCCTGCATGGAGGAAGCATAGGTTAGCCCTAGGACGTCAAGGGGCTCAGGCGAAAGAAGAGGTCACAGGCACTGACGGACTGGGTGCTTGCAGCCATGGAGCCAGCCCCACACAGAACTGTGACAGAAGGCACAGCAGGCCGGCCAGCTCTGTCCACTGCTATGCCTCGGTGGCAAGCACACGGTGCGTGGCATCACGAAAGGCATCACTCATTCACTAAAGGAACTTTCCTTCTAAGTTCACTGAACCCTGGAGAAGAGTAGCACACATAGCTGCCTGTGTCATGCAGGATGGAGGGGCAGAAGGTGAAGGGCCAGTTTCCCTTCCTCCTGCTTGTTTCTCAGGCCATCTTTCCATGCACAACCCCAACTACAGATTGGGTCAACTTTTCGACAGTCTTTGCATAAGGAAACAGATGTTGCTGAGGATGGTGGGGCAGGCCTATAATCTCAGCACTCGGGAGACTGAGGCAGGAGGACTGTAGGATCCAAGGAAGCCTACAGGGCCACACACACAAAAAACAAGTAAATAAAATAAATAATAAATGAGCAAATACTGCCATGTCTAGCTCTATTTCTGGCTAAAACAGACACGCATTCTTAGACACAGAAGTTTACTAAATTCATTTTGTTACCCCCACCAGCTAGCTAGACATTACCCCGTTAGTACCAAGGGTTGCCTCACATTGGACTAGTCCTCTGTTTTTGGAAAGACAACCACAGCTGTGTAGGAGTGATCTTTGGTCCCACAGTTAAAAATCTCCCTGCACCTTGGCCGCCAGCTCCCCTGTCCCCTGCCTCATGGATGACTGTAACTCAGGGTTGGGCCTCCTTTTAGAGCTAATCTAAGCCTCAAAGGACAAGCCTGTGCAGACATAGGTGCGTCCGCGAGCACGGGGTAGAGCACCTAAAGGCTGAGGACAGTGTCCCACACCTCTTGCAGCGGCAGCCGCCTGGGCCTTTTCACCATGGTGTTGACCTCCTGTACTGAGCCCTCCTTTGCTCTGGCTGCTCGCTTCCTCCTCAACACACACCTCACCTATACTCTCCTCAAATGCCAGCGAGCAGTCACCTTAAAACTTACTGTGTCCCAAGCCAAAGCAATCCCAGTGTCCCTCCTGCCCCTCAAGTGCTCCCTGGGAAGCTTCACTCAGTCCAGCTGCTCCTGCATCCTTCAGGCTACTTGCCCAGGTACAAATGCTGAGCCTGACTACTGTGGTACACCAAGCTGCACGCCCTGCCTTCGACCCACCATACAATGGCACATACTATCACTCCTAGCTACTCCAAACTCAGCCCGTCTCCTGGTCTTCCAGCTGACCACGCCTGCTCAGGCTCCCACTGTTCAGCTCTGGATGCCCCCAGCTCCTTGAACACCTGTCTAGCGCTTTCCAAGTTACAACAGTTTAAACTTTTTTTAAAACTTTTTTTAAACTTTTTTTTGTTTAAATTTAACTGTCTTCAATTTGAAATCTAGAATGGAACATGCTCTCAAGTTTGGTCTTTTAGTTGTGTCTCATAGGTCTCCTACGGGCCCTTCATAATGCCTTTCTTCTTTAATACTGTCTGAGTGTTTCAGTTCCTCAGCCTTGTCTTCAAACCCTGATGGTTTGTCTTCCACTTGATCCAGACTACAGGTGAGGCTTTCAAGGGAGTTTATGAATTTGATTTGACCTTTTCATTCCCAAGATTTGTTTGTTTTCAGAATCTCTCTCTCTATGGAGCTGCTCTCATATCCTGTTTCTTCATTTACCTGTTGATTCATACCCTCTTTGAGTTTGCTCATTATGTTTACAATCCTTTTCAATTTGTTCTTTTTGTGAGACGGTCTCACCACACAGACCCAGGGTGGTCTCCAACTTGTGATCCTTCTCCTCCTGACTGTGGAGTTCTTTGTCCGGCATTTCATCCATTTCAGTATCACTGGAATCAGTTACTATGGGATTGTTAACCTTTGATGGAGTCATTCACGCCGTCTTCTTCTTTCATGTTTCCTGTGTATTGAGATCTTCTTTTCATGTTTCCTGTGTATTGAGATCTTCTTTCATGTTTCCTGTGTATTGAGATCTGTGCTTCTGGGGACAAGTCACCAGCTGGAAGTTTCAATCTCCCATAGGCTTTAAACTGAAGCATTCACTGTGGTTGGGCAGGATAAAGTTGGATAGATTGAGGTGCAATTTCAAACAGTAACCATCAAATGGTAACCAAACACCCACCTAGTGCCTCAATCCCCTGCACCACTCACAAAGAAGAAACAAAACATAACAGTCACAATGGACAAACCAAATATGGAAAGAAAGTAACTACCACTCAAAAACAAGTAGCACCACAACACCAGTAGAATAGAAGGCAAAGATAAAAACAATGAGCAAAACAGATACTAGTTTACAAAGAATACAAATCTAAAAATAATGCTAAAAAAGAAACAAACAAAAAATAGGATAATGTGGGGGAGGTAGAAAGAAGAAGATAGAAGTTCCAATTAAGGAATAAACATGGGAAAAAGAGAAAAAAATTAAAAAGGTTAAAGATAAGGAAAAAATAGATCCAATCAACATTTTAAAAGGGGGGGGGAAGAAGGAAGAAAAGATTAAAAATTAAATATCAAGCGGAGAAGAAATGAGAGGGAGGGAGAAAAAAATTTCCCTGTAAATATTCAATGCAAGGAGTTGTAACTAAAGAAGGCTTAATAAAAACAAAACCAGAACCAAACATCCCCAAACCAAAACAACAACAGAGAAGGTGGCCTTTCTGCAGGAGGTCAAGTGTGAGGGTAGAAGGTAAGAGTGCTCATCCTATGTGGAGTGACTTCTTCCTATGACCTTAGTGGCTGTGTGCCATTTGCCTTTTTCTCTTTCCTTTGTGTCCATCACCTAGCAACCAGGGAGTGGACTGGGAGGAGAGGCAGTTGGGGAGGCCTGGCCAGGAGAGGCCATGGTGGACGGCAAGACTTCCACCAGCAGGGCCTCGCTCTGGTTTTACGTCCTCTGCTCACTCCATGGAGGCACTGATGCCAGTGCTCTGCCAGAGATCCGGGGTGCCAGCTCCTTCCCCATGTGGATCTGCTGAGGAGTTGTGGGCGCTGAAGGTCAAGTGGAGGATCCCGGTGGATCCAGCACACATCTCAGGTGCTCTGCGATGTAGCTAGCTCCCACATGTACTCAAGCACATGTGGCTCCAGCCTCCAGTTCCTGTGGCTACAACTGGTAGAGGCCTTCTTTCCTTCTGTGTCGTGGAGGTCAGCGCTTTGCTTCAGTTTCTCCTGTGGCCATGCCGGCTCTCTAGGCCAGCACTGCTGGCTGGCGTATGATTGTTCCTGTGGCTCCCAGCGACAGGAAAATACAGGGATCTGTGACCCCGTGTGCTCCGTGCTGGGCTCTCTGCTCCTCTGTCCAAAGCCTCTGGGACTTTTCAAGTCTGTCTGTTCACAGCTCAACTTCAGCTGCTTCCGTCAACCACCTTGATGCTTTGGTTCTGTCCCGGACAAAAGCTGGCGATGGCTGGGAGCTTCCTCTCGCTGCACCCTTTGCGGAGGGTATGTGGTGGTGTTTGCCGTGGCTGTCAATCGCTCTGCTGGTTAGGGACCTTAGGCACTGCTCACCTGTGATGCTGTGAAGTGCCAGCTCGCACCTTTTGTCCCCTTTCCCAACAGGTGGTCACGTGCTCTTTTTGACTTCTTGGTACCAGGGTCACGACACTATTTTTAATTTAAATTTTTTATTTAGTTAGTTTATTTTTCAAATCAGGATTTCCACAAATGAACATGGACCAATGATGTGATGAAGCCTCTCAGAGCAAACTCCCTACTTATGGGCACTTAAACTGTACAGCCACTGTGAAAACTGCTGGTCAGTCACATCCACGTTCATCACGGTGCAATCACAACGGCCCATCAGTGGATGAGGGAATAAAGAAAGTGTGGTATTTATTAGTCAATGGAGTATTACTCAGCCACAAAGAACCATGAAATTCGATCACTTGGAACTGAGATCATCCTGTCAAGCAACATAAGCCAGACTCAGAAGGACAAACGCGTGTGGAATAAAGATTTAAGAAACGGACATGAATGTAGAAGGGGGACTATTCTGGGAAGAGGAAGGCACCAGTGTGTGGGAGGTGGGTTGGAACAAGCAAGGGTAACAGAAGGTGAGTATCAAAGTACGTTTGTTGTATTTATGCATAGACACAGTTATGAAAATGTCATAATGAAACCCATTATTGTTACAATTAACATATGTTGATTAAAAAAAACTTGAAGAGAGTAAAAACTTCAGTGCTTGCTAGTGGTTGGGAGGACGGATGCAGGTAGAGGGCCCAGGGTGACTTTTAGGGCCCAGGGTGACATGGTAATGGCACACAGATGTATTACACCCTGTGAGAACCCAAGAACGGAAATGGAACAGGATGGAGTTTAGTTAGGTAAATCTTGATTCATCGATTGTAGCATGTACCACACTCAGGCTTGGTGCCCTCATCCTGGATTTTAAGTACTATTCTCCACTAAAGGGAACATGGAGCCCTGGGCAATGACTTCCTCCAACCCCAAGACAGGGGCAGAGAAAAGGACAGCATCTAGGTGAATTTTGGGGCCGAAAGTGAAGGAGTGCACAGGAATGATGGCACATGGTCAGGGCCTGCAGAAGCCTGACTGGAAGAACTCACATGGCCAGATTTGGGAGATTATAAGCAGCAAACAGAAAATACAAGATGCTCCAGATCTTGGAGACTCTCAGAGGAACGCTGTGATGTAGGCTTCCATAAAACAAGGGAATCAGAAAGGACTTACGTGGTCTGGCCGAGGTGCTCGTGAAAAGCTGGCATCCCCACGCCTTTGTATAGCTTTCTCAGCTGTTCTACATGTTCTGAATTATCAGTGCCCATTCCCGTGGACAAAATTTCAGCTCGAACATTATAATCAATGATAGAAGTTTTCAAATTTTCAAGTTTTGTTACATGTACCTTGAACCAAAGAAAAACATGTAAAACTTTTGAGTGTCACCAGGAATTTTAATTGAATCAGACACTCCCGCAAGGCCTCCCCACTGCTGCAGTGCCTGCCACATGTCCAGTACACAGGACTTCCAAGGCAGCAGCCGGTCACTTCATGGTAGGGGTGACAGCAAAATCTCCCAAAGCACAGTCCCCATGGCGGAAGTGCCATCAAGTGTGGGGCCAAATTCTGGAGTAAAATGCCCACTCCAGAGTTCTCTGTCATGCCTTCCTGATTCTTGCTCAGCTCTTTAAAAAGGAAGCCCTCAGGCTCAGAGTCCTCATGTGCCTAGAAAGGCTCAGGCCAAGGCCCTAACCCCACACTCCAAACCATTTCCTCTGCTTGCCTTCTCTGCAACCAACACATCCCCACCCACTTCCATCCATACAGAAATAGGCCAGCTTTGTAACCGCAAAAGGGTGAGTACTGTGGAGGGGCCTGGCTGGTCTGCTGGGACCCTTCCTGAATGCCCCCTGGGCAGGTCCGCACCTGGGAATGTGCAGAAGGGCCTTTCTGCACTTAAGAGTGGAGAGGGCTGGTTCGGGTAGGAAAGAAGGCAAGCATGGGGACTGTTCCCCCTGCCCTCCGGGGTGCCAGTAATGCTGTTGCAAACTCTACAGTGGCAAAACCAACTGCCATGCGGTCCTCTTCTGCATCATTCTGAGATGTAGTTTAAAAACCCTGCTTAATGAAGATTCTATTCATTCTCGAATAAAGGTCAACGAAAGTAACCCTATGCATCAACTGAGGCTTCCACATCTCTCCCTACCCGTGCTGTCATTTAAAGACTCTTCTCTCTTTTAAAGACTATTCTCTCTTATTCTTAAATCTAGTATCCAAATTCCCCCTTTAAAGGGTACAAGCTCTCCCAAAATTAATGAACCAATAAAGAAACAGGCAAGTGAACTAAACAGAAATTTCTCAAAAGAAGAAATTCAAATGGCCAAAAAACACATGAAAAAATGCTCACCATCTCTAGCAATAAAGGAAATGCAAATTAAATCCACACTAAGGTTCCACCTCACCCCTGTTAGAACAGCCATCATTAGCAACACCACCACCAACAGGTGTCATCGAGGATGCGTGGAAAAAGGAACCCTCTTACACTGCTGGTGGGAATGTAAACTAGTACAACCACTCTGGAAAAAAATTTGGAGGCTACTTAAAAAGCTAAACATTGATCTACCATTTGATCCAGCAATCCCACTCTTGGGGATATACCCAAAAGACTGAGACACAGGTTACTCCAGAGGCACCTGCACACCCATGTTTATTGCAACACTATTCACAATAGCCAAGTTATGGAAACAGCCAAGATGCCCCAGCACTGACGAATGGATTAAGAAAATGTGGTATCTATACACAATGGAATTTTATGCAGCCATGAAGAAGAACAAAATGTTATCATTCGCTGGTAAATGGAACTGGAGAACATCATTCTGAGTGAGGTTAGCCTGGCCCAAAAGACCAAAAATCGTACGTTCTCCCTCATATGCGGACATTAGATCAAGGGCAAACACAACAAGGGGATTGGACTTTGAGCACATGATAAAACCAAGAGCACACAAGGGAGGGGTGAGGATAGGTAAGACACCTAAAAAATTAGCTAGCATTTGTTGCCCTTAATGCAGAGAAACTAAAGCAGATACCTTAAAAGCAACTGAGGCCAACAGGAAAAGGGGAACAGGTACTAGAGAAAAGGTTAGATCAAAAAGAATTAACCTAGAAGGTAACACCCACACACAGGAAATCAATGTGAGTCAACTCCCTGTATAGCTATCCTTATCTCAACCAGCAAAAACCCTTGTTCCTTCCTATTATTGCTTATACTCTCTCTTCAACAAAATTAGAGATAAGGGCAAAATAGTTTCTGCCGACTATTAGGGGGTGGGGAGAGAGGGAGGGGGTGGGGGGGGTTAGGGAGGAGGAAGGGGGAAGAAATGACCCAGACATTGTATGCACATATGAATAAAAAATAAATAAAGGGTGCAAGCTTACCAACCTTATAAAAGCTCTTTCCAACAAAAGTTATGAACTGAATTCCTTTAAACCTTTTAAACAATTATAGTAAATAATAGTTGTGTAACACAGCAAAACTTTGAGATGTAAAGCAGAGTCATGGAGAAAGTAGAGTGCTTAAGGTGCAAACAAGGGGACAGTGCCCGAAGAAACTCAGAGGTCCCATGAGCACTAGTCATTGTGCCGCCCTCCGCCTGCATCAGCTCCAGGAGGTCATGGCTGCTTTGTTCAAATGGAAGCCGGGCCCCGTGTGGGTGTGTGGTGGATGGAGGAGGCAGAAACTGTGAACATAGGAAACCTGGCCTTGAACATGGACTGCAATCCTCAGTGGCGCTGAGCACGTCCCCGGTCTTTAGGCCTGTTCACAAACTGGAAAAGATGGGTGCTGTGGCAGCAGCACTGACCCGGGCCTCTCAATAGCATGGCTGGCGGGCAGTGAAACGGACTTAATTCACAATCAACTCTTGACAAGGTGAAACAGCCCTCCGGATAAGCCCACGTTCTTGAAGCAGGTATTCAAGCAATAGGTTCGAATACTGGGATTCTTTTTCAAGCTTTTCAAGAAAACTGCATACTTACCATTGGATCGATCCAAACAGTATTTCCCAAAGCCAATACCACTTTTGCCTCATGCACTTTGCCAACAATTTTATGGTGAATGTACCTAGTAACCTGAAACAAAAGCACTCGCATTAATCAATCAGCTGTGTCTTCAACAAAACACCTCATTCTGCATTTGCTTCACAGCCAAGGGTCCCACGGGGGACGTGAGCTGCACAGTCACCCTAGCAGGTTCGTAGGCATCATGTCCCTTTTTTTAATTTAGTGAGGGGAGCAGTAGAGTTTATGAGGCACACATGTGGAAAGGGGTGGGAACTTGCCCAAGGCCTCAGAACCAGTGAGTTCTAAGGATAGGTGAGGGTCTGGTGATTTTGAGTGCTTCCCCCAAAGTAGATGGCAAACAGTTTCCTCTATCAGCTATCAATCTGTCTTCCCACAAAGCACAGCGAATGAGGTGACAGTCCCCTGCTGCTGCAGAGGTCTTCAGGGCGCTGGCTGCTCTGCACCAGCAACTCAGCCACTGGGGGGCCCTGCTCTTCTGCATGCTCTTTTCGGGGTACATTGCTGTTTTCTTTGCAACCAGGCCTTTCAAAGCCTGGCTGGGGCCTCCATCTCTCCTTCCTTGTCATCCTCCCAACCCTGGCAGAATCACCTGTCTGTCACCTGTGCCTCCCGAGACGGGGATCCACTTTCCTGAGTACTGTTTCTTTTCCTTCAGCTGACACCATGCCCGTTATAACATTTTCAAGCCTGAGCACTATGTCGAAGGGCACAGCCTGCAGGGCCCCGAGTGCCTCCAGCTCAGGGCTGGGTTCCAGGCGCAGGGAGTACTGTCCACAGCAGCAGAGACTAAAGATCGTGTGGCCATTAACAAAGGCTCAAACTAAAGATTCTAGATCTAAAGCCAGTTGTAGGGTGTGCAACTGCAGTCCCAGCAACTCAGGAAAATGAGACAAGAGGATCACTTGAGGCCAGGAGTTCAAGACCAGCCTGGGCAACAAAGCAAGAACCTGTCTCAAAAAAATCTCCCTCTCATGTTTCTGTGTATAAATGTGTACGGGTGTATGCATGTCAAATCAACCTCACTTCTGTATCTAATCTGAGTTAAATATATTCCGATCAGCAAAACTCAAGAAGTCAAGATAGTCACCTTTGGATTCCATTCCATCTCACTGTCAGCAGGTTTCACTCTACACACAATGAACTCCACAGCCTGGGGAGGGAGCATGTGGAAGCTTTCTGGGAGTGGCAAGAGCTGGTCCCTGGCCACGAGCCCGGTCCTGCCTTCATCAAGGAACTTGACAAGGACGCTCTCCAGGCCCCAGGTGTCTTCCTTCTGGCTTATCTCTAGCACCTGAACCCTGGAGAGCAAGGGCGGCATCAGTTTAACACAGACTCTAAAACAGAAGCCATCTTTGCCTCAATTTACCCATCACACGGACTAAACAGAGAGTCTATTACACTGCATGGTTTTACTCCATACTGAACTAAAACATGGAGGCCTTCAAGAGCTGTTCTGAGAGACTAAGCAAAGGACACATGAGCATAAAAATAGGTGGTGTTTTGAACACAGGAAACCCCTGTACTGGAAAAACGAACAAAAACTAATGCGGCAAAGTAAAGTATCAAGGTTTCTGACCAGGCTGGTACCAGTGTCACTGGGTGTGTGGATTCAGGAGGTGGACGGCCACATGGAACACTGACCACTTCCCCACGGCTCAGTCAGCTCACCCGAACCTGTACAAGTCCTTGGTAGGAATTAAGTGAGTCACAGAGGTCAGGGCGTGCTGGGCAGTGGGTTGCTGCCACTGCGCTCTGTCCTCAGGCATCGTGAAGGGTCACGTGCCAAACTGGACCAGGTATCTGAGGCTGCACTCACACTCAGAGAGGCGGCCAGGCGCGATGGACGTACATTCAGTCGATCATCAGAGCTGAGAACAGGCATGCAGCACCACTTCAATTACTTCATGCCTCACAGTGTTAGAGATCAAACATATAGATATTTCACCTGTGAAAAAGTGATTTTTCTTCTAATGCATACAGTCCAAATCTCTCCACTGTCTCAACAGTCGCTTTGTTACTGGAACCCCTGAAATAGTCATTCATGTCTGCACTCAGACTTGCATAAAGATCCACACATTTACCGATGATGCGGCCACAGTAATTTGTTGCATTTGAAATATAAAAAGGTATCATCTGAAATGGAGAAAACACAAGGTGAGCTTCCTCTAAACTGAAGAGGTGCATGTCCCTGCGTCTGCAGCAATCAGGAAGTGGCCTTGTGGAGCTTGTGACCTGATGCTGGTAATGGAGCGGCAGCATCACACCTGCAGACGCAGGGACGAACTCACCCTGACCGGTGTGGACTTTCCTGGCTCCAGCACTCAAAGCCCCACATGCTGTGGGGGGGCCCTGGGGGCGTTCCTGCTGGCCTCCTTCCCCTGCCTGTTTTGACTTCACACATAAATAATGCACTTTGGGATGGTTGCACTGTACAACATAAGGACATAAAGTTCAACTGAATTTCTAAAACAACTAGAAAATGAGATTTTAAAAAGCATTGAATGAACACTAGCACCCTAATTCACAGACACTAGGGATAAGCTGAACACATTAAATACAAGGACTGTCACTGTGACACGTGTGCAGAGAAACGCACAGCGACCTGGACAGTCAGAGTGGCACACTGTGCTCATGGACTGGAGGGTGGAGCACAGCTGAGATGTCGCCTGCCCCCCAGTCAACGCACAGACTTGACGCTTGGGGGTACCAGCCAAGCCCAGCAGGCCTCCAGTGCAAGCAGGCTCTGATGCCCCTCACCAGGTAAAGAAGAAGATGGGACACCGCGGGAAGGGAGAGGAAGGCACTCCAGCCAGTATCAAGGCTACCAAGCTACAATGATCAAGTCTGAGTGATACAGGTTACAGCACAGACAGAGGAACAAAAGCAAGAATTCAGAATTCACAAAACTGTTTTTTTCATTTACATCAAAGACACTTAACATAATTTAGGGCACAAAAAAGGTCTTTATAATAAATGACGTTGGAACAACTGATATTCATGAGGAAAGACCTTCTCATACCATATGTGAACATAGATTGAAGACAGATCACAACTACATGCAACACTATAAAACTCCTAGGGAAAAAATAGGAAAATCTTTTTTTTTTGCAGACTGGGGTTTGAACTCAGGGTCTTGGCTTTGAGCCACTCCACCAGTCTTTTTTGTGATGGGTTTTTTCGAGATAGAACCTCAGAGAATTATTTGCTGAGCTGGCTTTGAATCGTGATGTGCCTGATCTCTATAGCTGGGATTACAGGAGTGAGCCACACACCTTTTGTGTGGAAAATTAATGTCCACACAAGTCTTCACATGAATGTTTACCACAGTTTTATTCCTAATGGCCAAAACCTGGAAGAAACTTAGAAGTCATCGGTAGGTGAATGGAGACACGGACTGTTTTGCATCCTGACAACAGACTGTTCTTCAGTGCCAAAAAGAAAGGAGGTGTGGGGGAAAGGAGGGGAGGCAAGAAAGAGTATGGGGTGAATTTCATCAAGTGCATGTATGCATATTTAGAAATATCGCAGTGAAACTCTTTGTACAATGAATGTATGCTAAGAAAAGAAATACACTATCGTGCCACAAAGTGGTGGAGGCAACTTAAATTCACATTAGTAAGAGAAAGAAGGAACGTGCAAAGTCGCACCTTCATGATGCGAACTATATGATGTTTCTGGAAAACTGAGATCAGTGGTGGCCAGGACTCAGGGAAGGGAAGATGAGTAGGGCAGCGGGACTCCTCTGTGTGACACTGTCATGACAGACCTCCAGAACAACAGCGACAGCAAGCTTGGTTTAAGCTATGGACTGGGATGTGACAACGAGGTACCGGTACTGGCCTCTCAGTGGTCATGGATGCACCACACTGATGCAGGGTGTTAACAGCAGGGGCCCCAGGGAAGGAGGTTTATGGGAACTCTGCTTTCTATACACTTAAAACTGTTCTAAAAATTAAAATTTATTAATTAAAAAAAAAACCAGATGAGTCAACCCCAGTCACTTCCACATCGCAGCACAGGGAACAGTGGAAGGGAGCCTGGAGTGCAATGTCTACAGCCTGAGAACAGAAGCAGGATTCCCAAGGGCCTGAGGGTCAGCTGGACAGGAGTGGACACATCCACGAGGCTCTCACCTATCCCAACAGCAGCGGAAGGCCGAGGCCCTACACAGCCCCCAGGCTGTCCCCACAGGGACAAAAATCTAAAGAAAGACAAGAGTCAGACGGCGGTGGGCAGGGGAACAGTGCCAGGAAATCCCCAAGACCTCAAATGCTATGTCACCATGCTGCTGTAAACCTAATAGGTAAACAACAGAAATCAGGAGAGTTGTCCTGATGTATATACCTCCTTCTAGAATTTAGTAACAGCAAAACATCAAGGTTAAAACACAATGAACTCAACCAGAATATCATAAAACATATGATTTCTAAAAATGCATATGGAAAGCACAGCCTGCCACACCTGGATTATACCTGTGAGGGTGACATTTCTCCGTATGAAGTATCAGGCCACCAGCTGTGGTGACTTGCTATGGCAGCCTGGGGAGCTAATACCACACACAATGCCTTAAGGGAATGAGGCAGAAAGGGGACACATTTGCAACTCAAGAAGGTAGTAAAGAAATTCATATAGGGATTTGAAAGTAAAGAACGAACTTCCGCTCAGCTGTCCACGTATCCAATTTGTCCTTGGTTTATATATAAGCTGGGGTTTTCCAATGACTGACCTTATGAGGGCCTGTTCCCTCTTTTAATTGGTAGCAAACGAATAACAAATACTGAAGTTATAAACCTATTCTACGAAGATTCTTCTGCTTGACCCATATTCATGAAAAGACCACTAACTCCTGGATGAAAGGTCTTACCAGCACTTACCCTGATGTACCCACACTGGCAGAGCCTGGCTGGACAATGTCCTTGGCACGTCTGTTTCTGGATTGATATGGTGTCGGTCAGGACAGACCCTTTTGTCTCTGAAAAAAATGACTTGCTTTGGAAACCAGAAGAAAACAGTAAAAATAGCTGATATGAATTTTAAACATACTTTGGAAAACTCGTCTGCAACTGAAATTACAGAGGTTTTGCTCCCAACACCTTAAGGGTTAACTAGGCACAGTAAGTACTTCATGTGACACCAATTGTGCATAGCTAAGTGGAAAAGAGTCTGTGACTTCGTTATGAATGACGAAACTTAAAGACAGTCCGTACGTCCCTAGACAGTTTTAAATGCCTCACGTAAATGGACAAAACATACTTCTGAAATAAGCACTCGGAACTGAATCACCACAATCCACAATAAATCCACTTACCCTGCAGAGCAGAAGCTACTCTGTGCCTACTATGCTACCTCTTGTTGTTTGGGTTTTCTTTGGTGAAACTGGGTTTGAACTCAGAGACTCCTGCTTCCTAGGCAGGAGCTCTACCACTTGAGCCACGCCCCCTGGCTGGTTTTGTTTTCATTAGTTTTCAGATAGGGTCTCGTGTTTTTGCTGGGGTCAGCATGGGACAGCATAGCGCACACCTGGCTTATGACTGACAGGGGGTCTAATTTATTGCCTGGCTTGGCCCTCAACTGTGATCCTCCCAATCTCCCTGCTTCCTGCCAAGTTCCAGTTTTAAAAGTCAGTGTTCTATTGAAATTCATAATGAAAATCGCTGATATAAGCTGTTTAATGTACCACAATTTAAAAAAATAATGTGACTATTTATCTTAAAGTTAAATCCAACCAGTAGCTGCATAAACACCTGCACCCCAGCCTTCGTTCACAACGTGGTAGCATCCTGCCTGGTGGCACCGGGACTGTCTAGGTATCAAGGCCCTCCTCAGTGATGTACAGAGCCGGTGCTGACAGGCTGTTCTGTGGTTTCTGTGGGGATGGCAGGCTGACGCACGTCAGCTCCTGGGACTCACCGCAACACCACGGCGCTCTGAGTGTTGTGGTGTGAGGACAGTCCCCAAGTAGCCCACAGGTCCTATGACTGTTTTATGCCAAAGGCGCTAATTCAGTGAGAACAGACGACACTCTAGATGAGCCAGAGTTCCGTGCCACACCCACGCTGTACACACAGTGAATGCACTCCACAAATGTGCATTTCAGAGTTTGGATTATGGTGGCTCAACCTGGACTGGGGAAAGCACCTGTGTCTAGAATATGTATTTTTAATTTTATTTTATCAGTTTTACATTTACTTTGTGTGTGACATCTCCCTCTCCTCCAGAATACATATGGAGTCCCACAAAGAGAGAATGGTCCAGGGTCCATGAACTCACATCACTCCTCATCCGAGAAACACAAGCTAACATCACAACGGCTTGCCACTCCTGACAGGGTGGTGACACGGTTGACCCTTGTGGAAGAGCTAAGCGCACGTCTACCCTGTGATAGAGCAGCCCACTTCTTGGGAGTCCACTCCACAGAAGGGGTGCCTGTTTCCACAAGAAGACACAGATGCTGAGTGTTCAAAGTGGTTTCACACGTCACAGCCTCAAACTGGAGACAACCACAGGCCTGTGAACAGCAGGTGGACGCATCCAATGACATGTTTCTCCAGTGGAAGACTAAGCCACAAACTAAGCAAAATGCAGATCTACACTGCATAGAAGAATGTCACAGACATGAGGCTGAAGGAAAGAAGCCAGGCACAGAAAAGAGCACACCCCATTCCATTTACATAGCGTACAAAACCTAAGTTATGGACTTAGTGATGGCAACTAAGCGCCCATGGATGAATGGGTAAAGAAAATGCGGTATATATTCACAGTGGGTACCATGCAGCCATAAAGAATTAAATCCTGCCATCTGCAGCAAACTGGATGGAACCGGAGAACGTAACATTAAGTGAAATGCAGATGCAGAGAAACAAGCAGTGAATGCTCTCTCATTTGTGAAAGCTGAAAAGGTGACCTGAAAGCAGAGCATGGTTCCTCGTGACTGGAAGGCCTGTGAGAGGAGGGCAGAAAAGGGAGACTGGATTTCCTCCTTGCACACCACACGCACATATGGAAAAAACAGCACAGTGAATTCGGCCAGTCCGTACACTTACTAAGGAAGAATTTCAAAAGTGAGGCCAACAGGAGCCACTGTCAGAGCTGACAGCTGCGGGAAGGCGCTGCTCTTGGAGGAGGGCACATCCTGCAGGGCTGGGTTCAGCCTACACCGTGCACACCGGCTCACCTGCAGAAGCCGAAGGCCTTCAGAGTGGGGCAGAGTGGCCTCTGGGCTTTCTTGTCTTCTTTGGCCTCCAGAACCCCTGCAGAGAACTCGTACAGCTCCGATGGGATGTGGGCTTCTGCGCGCTCCAAGTAGCGCAGGACGCCCACTGCCTGGGTCGCGTTTCTCTCCGTCAGCAGCAGGACAGACTTGGTTTTTTGATCTCCCTGCTCTGCAGGAGAACCCTGCAAATCAGGGGTGGATAAAAGAGGCAGGTCATCCAGACCAGTCCCAGTGTGACTTAGGCTCTGATTTGTGCTTACACGCTGACATGGAACATGGCAGGGAATGAAAATGGACCAAACCTGTTCGGTGAAACTCTGAAAATGATCCGACATGCAATACAGGCGTCCTCCAAACACTTTTGGTGAGGCGGGGAAACTGAAATGCACGACGCGCGTGGCGTCCGTGATGGCCAGGAGCGGGATGCAGTCGTCAGTGGAGGCTGGAGAGGAGGAGCCCGCAGGCTCTTGTGAGTCGGGTCCCCAGGACCTCTGCACTGGGTTTCATTGTTTATTTTTTTGTTCCAGGCATCACACCCAAGGCCTCACATGCTAGGCCAGTACTCTACTACTAAGCTCCACCCTGGCCCTGCATTTTACTTTTTACATGCAAAAAACCTTCTTTCACCTCTTCTTCCCCAAATGCTACAGCTTGGTGACTGAATTCTAGAGAAAAAGTGGACTCTTACCTAGGAAAATGACTTTTTCTGTTACAACTCTAGGCCACCTAAGTATTTATCACTTATTTTATACATTCTTACTTCCCATTTCTAAGATTGATATCTTTATCATTTATGATGTTTAATCCCTCTCTGTCTCTCTCTCTCTCACACACACACACACAGAGTGCTTGTATGTAGACTTCAACGAGAACAAGGTGATGCTTGAGCCAGAAGTCCATGGAGAGCAGCTGCACTCACATCAACATGACAAACTTAATGGAAATTAAATTTCCATTTTCAAATTAATGTTACTAAAATACTCAAGTACATCTGGGAGACAACGAGAAACAGAAGTAAGACATGATTTTCAACCTTGTCTAAACGCAATAGGAGTTCAAACACTTACCGAGCACAATGTGTGAGCCAGAACTCAATTTCTTCTTCCACTGTTCCAAAACATTTGTTAAATTAAAAACAATTTCTTTGTGCATTTTCAAGCAAAATATTGAATTGCTTTCTACAACCTAAAGATGAAACCAAAGAGGCCATTCACAGTCAGGAATACAACGGTCCACGGTGACTATCAGTGTAAGTGACTTCAAACCACCCAGGGTGCTACTTCACTGACCCAGTAAGAGTGACTGTCAACTCAGATAAACATATTTCCAAAGTTCTGTAGTTTTTGTCTGAAAAACACCATTTTGCTAAACTGATTTCTCTTCTTTTTAAATACCCTATACATACAGGTATGTGTACATACATACTGAATGTGTAGAGTAGTGTGTGGCACAACTGTCAATAGGAGCCTGTTAACTGCACCGTCTAGATGACTGCAAAAAGGGGGATTACTATGATTCTTTACTTTTGCATTAGCCTTGTTTCCATGTGTTAGCAAATGCATACAAAACAAGATTAAGCTGAATAAATCTCTGGCTGCTGCATTTGTCTTTTGTGGCGACAGGACACTATCTGCTACTGCCATCTTCTCATCTTAACTGGAGAGCAGAGATGTCGGCATTTCTTCAGCAACAGATCGCCTCGGGCTCCAATGACAAAAGCACCAGCACTGTCCCCCACTATTTGTGGAAAGGCTGGGCCCACTTGCTTGGCTCCTCCTGGACCAGGCCTTGGGCTCCGAGTGCCTCCCAGCAGAGCCTGCCCCCCTTTCCCACTGATGTTGCACTTGGGAAACTATATCTTCCTGCTACATATTCAACGACCATAGTGACTTTCTGATCACCCGGTTGTCGCAGTTGGAAGCATTTGTGTGAACATCTGAACGTGTGGATGGGGGCTCACCTTATACACAATTTCTGTCTCGGCTACAGAGGAGGTAAAGATCAGGGTCTTCTGGGCCTGACTTGGAATAAAGTCAAGAACTTGTAGTAAAGTAGAGGTTTTTTCACATTCTAGGCAAAGATGCACCACCTGGTGATGAGATGCAGAAAGGAGGTGATTTACATGTTCCAAGCACTCTGGCTTCATTAGAAGAGGACAGAGCTGTGCCTGAGATCACAGCTGTCACCTTTACCTATCGAGAAGCCCCGCCCTGCACCTGCTGGACGTTGCCATAGAGTGCGGCCTCCTCTGGGGCGGTGATCACGATGTAGGGGTCATAGAGGAACTCCCGGACCAGGTGCTCTATGTGTTTGCTCCAGTGGGCGCCAACTGCAATGACCTGGTGTGGTGCAGACTCCCGCTCCTCCACCTCCACATGCTTTTTAAAGTTATCTAAAATAGCAAACATCTGAAACAGCAGGGCAGCAAATGTCATTTGATATGGCAAGAGGGTAAGCATTAGTCTGACAGGCAGAAAATGGAAGGCATTGTATATTTTCCTTTCAGAGTGAGGAGAACCTTTCCAAAAATAAAAGGAAAATGAAAACTACAAAGGAGGAAATGTTGAAACTTAATGATCATATAACCCTACCACCAAGACAATTAAAGCACAAAAAACATCCTGGTAAATAGATGGAAAACATGTAACAAGGGATTAACATGCTTACATCAAATAATTTCAAAATTTGCTGGGCGTGTTAGCACCAGCCTGTGGTCCCAGCTACTTATAAGGTGGAGACCAGGAGTGGTCTAGGCCAGCCCCAAGCAAAAACTCAAGACCCTACCTGAAAAGTCACTAAAGTGAAAAGGCCGGAGGCATGGCTCAAGTGGTACAGCACTTGCTTAGCAAGCACAAAGGCCTGAGTTCAAGCCCTGTTACTATGCACACAAAAAACTGCATCACACACAACCCACTTTTGTTTTGGGGTCTCGGGTGTACTAATTTTATGTACCAACAAATTCAGGAATTTAAAGAAGTAAATATTTCTGAAATAGTAAGTGTGACTACTTTTGAGTATAAGACTGGGGTGATTAGAGTTTTTCAAATGTTCTCCTCCATTTCTCTTGTTTAGGGGGCTGTACTAGGGTTTGAACTCAGGGCCTCCTGTGCTAGGCAGGTGCTCTACCACTTGAGCCACACTTCCTAGCTCTTTTTGCTTTAGGTTATTTTTCAAGTAGGGTTTTGTGTTTTTGCCCAAGCAGGCAAGGACCCCAATCCTATTTATGCTTCCCCCATAGCTGGGGTGACAGGTTTATGCCACCACAGTCAGCTTTTATTGGTTGAGATGGGGGTCTAGCTCCAAAAATATTAAAGAAATGTTTTAGCCAATCTCCCTTGGAAATTTTTGCTCTTCAAAGGGAACTCGCACATTGGGAAGGAGATTTCAGATGAACATTCACCCTTCTGAATTACAGTAGGGGAGGTTTTTTTTTAGATTAACCAATGTATTTCCCAGTGGACACTTTTCTTGATGACTTAATTGGACGTCTACTCACTTGCTCGCTAGCTTCTGAGAACAACACTTCCACCTCATCCAAAACCAGGTGGCACAGCCTGAGGAACAACAAGCTCTGGCACTCAAGGAGCCTCAGCAGGCTGTGTGGCGTGCTCACAATCACATCACCTGTGTGTCACAAGAAACAGCCAACGTTTCAGCCCCTCCGTGGGTTTTCCCAATGTCTGCAGTGCTCACACTCCGCCCGCCCCTCTGGGCCCAATAGGGATGTGGAGGCAGCCACACTCCTGAAAGGCAGAAGGGGTCAGCAGAGGGCAAGAGAGTGAAATCCCAGTCCTTTCTCAGTGGAGTAGCAGAGGCCAATGCTGAGGGAGGAGCCCAGTGGTCCCAGGCCTCTGGGGCAGGCTCACTGGGTTCTGCAGGGAGAACCTGATCTGGGAAGAAGGCGTGCTCACAGCTACGTGGCAGCTTCATGCTCTTAGCTTCATCTTTGTGTAGGCCGATTGTCAGCAGCACAGGATGGAGGGGCCTGGAGGATGTGTTGTAGTCTCCCAGCACTTCAAAAATTAACTGGGCCTTCTTCCATCCGGGACACACGACCACGGCAAGAGGCTGCAAATAAACAACTTCCAGCCATTTGGACAGCAGTCAGGAGTCCCACACAGTAGGTATGAAATGTCCAGAGCACCTCCTCAGAAGAAGCGCAATGTATATGTCAGAAAAGTTAGTGAAGTTTCCTTGAAATATATTTCAGACACCTTGACTAGCATTTCCCTAGGGCTTAAACTAAGCACTTCACTACTGTTAAATCAGTTAGTCCTTAAAACACTCTTAAAGGGTAGGGCCTATTATTACTCCATTTCACAGATGAGGAGTCCAGGGCACAGAGAGTAAAGTCAGTTGCCTAGGGCTGCACAGCTAACTCCTGGTGGTAATAAGATGTGAACCTAGGAAGTGGGGCTCCAGATTTCTGGCTCCTAAGAACTAGGGCGGGAACAGGCTAACACCCTCCCCGAGCCTGCCCTCCAGCAGCCCAGACTTTCCTGAAGGTGACTTTCCATGAGTTGAAGGCCAGCCTCCTCTCCTCCTTCCTCGGGCAGAGCCGGGTGACTGCCAGCTCCTGCAGAGCCTGAAATCAGGCTGGCCACAGAAGTGTGGAAAGAGCAGGAGAGGCATAGGGGCAGGACCTGAACATTTCTTTCTGCCCCATGCCAGGTTCCACCTCAGCACAAGCCACATCTCATCTGCAGGGATCAGCTGCTAACAAATTTGGGGGCATAAATGAACGTATGTAATTTGATTCAATCAACACACAACCATAACTGCAAACTCCAAGGGAAGTCCAACTGCCTGGCATCTGTTTCCTTACTGCTGGGCCTGACCTTCCAGCATGTGGGAAGCCTCTGCAGGGCATCCTTTGTGCCAGGGCTGGGATGCAGGATCTGTATCTGTCACTTCTCCTGACAGTCAAAAGGCAGCAGGGAGATGGCACTGCCCACCACCATTTGGTCCTAACACCCTGTATCCCTCCTCATCAGCATATTTAGTTATTTGCAAATTCTTAGACATGGGAAGAGTAGGGTTATAAAACAGTGTGCAGTGCCAGGACAATTTAAAGAATGTAGACTACAGCAGAAACTTAACTTTCAAAGTTACATCTACCACTGCTCAGCAGTGAAGAATTCATGTTCACTCGTGCACAATGGTAAGAACAATATATGGCCCGACCGTCTCTCACAGCTGTCCTGACAATTATAGGAACCCTAGCTGCTGAGATCATTCCGTAAACTCTGCCTTTGTTCTAAAGGCCAGGCTTCTGCTGCCGGCCTGCAGCCCACAGCTGAGAGAACTCTTTCCCCAGAGAAGAGAAAGGCACTTATCCTGGCAGTGTGGAAACCAAACTGAGCAATGTACCAACTTCACCAAATGGTAGGTGTGCAATTTGAAAAGAACCCTTTAATTTATTTTGCTGTGCAATCAAATCGTTTTGACTTACTCCTTTTCTACTTGGCAATGACTTATAGCAGCCCCCCATTTGCAAAATTGTGAGCAATGGTGGAAGGTACAGCAAGGGGTCGTTTCCACAGTGGGAAATGACAACCACATCACAGCCACGCGCTATGGGAGGCCAAGAGTACGATTCAGTGTGGCTGGGTCCCAGGAGCTTCTTTCTTTGAAGAGCCTGCAAAAAACCAACCAAAAAGCACCATGAAGAAGAGAAAATGAATGAAGCTACCTCACTGCTCACTCCCCTCACTGCAGGCCCATGCCTTCACCTTGTTCTCTTCCCGTGAAGCTTTGCTCAGGCACTGAACTCCCATCATGACTCTTGCCTTTCTAGGCCCCAAGTAAAGGGTCTGACAGGTGCCTAAGGGGCACTGGACACAGTTGTGGCTTTCTTGCCTTCTTCTCTCAATACCTGCCAGTCTGTCAGCCACACTTGCAAAGCATTTTTTAAAAAAAAAAAAAACAATTTTATTACCTTACTTTTTCTACCTAAATGTCCTAGGAGTTCTCCACCATATTGGTAGGATTTTCCAGTAGGCTGAGCTCGCCAGCATCATCATCCATCCTCTTGGAAGCTGCAGAGGACTGCCTCACTCTTTGCCCTAACCTGGAAGCTTCCTTGTCTGCAACCTGAGTCCTGATTTCAGGAAGAACAAATTTCAGTAGCTTCTGGACAAAGGGGGTGGAGGAGTGCGGTTTTCTTTGGAGACTTTGAATGTCTAAAAGCATCTCAATTCCTTCCTTGCACCTCTCTGTAGTAGAGCGTGCACCTGCAGGTTGGAGTGACTTCTTAGAGTGCCAGTCTGTGCTCCCTGGTGTTGCTGGAGAACCTCAGGCTACTCTTAGTCCTGGTTGTGAGAGAAGTCACTTCTTCCTCAGTTCTGATGCGGCACACCATGTCCCTGACATCTTTGCTCATCAGTTGTGCTCCAGGTGTAGACAGAGTCTGTTGATGTGGGGATCCTCAGGTCCACAAAACATTATGCATCACTCCTCAGAGAATTTTCTGCCTTCTCAATTCTTTGTATAAAGCCTGTTTTCAGATACTGGATCTCAAATTAAGCCTCAAGTTCTTTTTTTCCCTTCTATTTCCATCTCTTTGCTTTTTTGTTCTTTCAGTTCTCTTCTGTTTATATTTTCAGCATTCTATTCAATGTTTAAAGTTCCCATGTTTTGAATTTCTGAGAACTTTTACTTTCTGAGAGTGCCTTTCCTTTCACTTTTTTTTTTTTAACAGCACCTTGTTATTGATAAATACATGCAATTTTTTCTTAAAAAACAGATAAGGGTGTCCCTGTATTGTCCTGGCTGGCCATGAACTCCTGGGCTCAAGTGACTCCCACCTCTGCCACAGATTGCCTCTGTCCCAGGGATATTTATTTTCTAATATTTTCCTCTACTCCTTGCACTGTTTATTATCTCCAGAGTTTTTCTGGTCTTTTGTTTTTAAGGTGAATGCTTTCTTCAAATGTCTGTGATTCCTGGTGTCTGTTCACACTCAAGAAACAGACACTAAAACCTGACTAGAAGCTGTGTGTGCGGGCACATCTTGTCACCATGTATCACATCACTGCAGCAGACAAGGAGCAGACATTTTTACTGGGACAATTCTGCACAACACTGCTAAATCTCATTTTCTAGACCACTCAGATTCTCCACAAAGAGCCTCCATTCTTCCTCCTCAGAACAATAAGACCTGGCTGTGATGTTCAGGAAGCAAGGCTTGCTCCTACCCAGGAAGTCAACCAAACTCTCCTGCATGTTTTTCACTTCTAAAGCCCTCTGGAAATCTCTTCCCCACTCAAGACCGCTCTCATTCTGTTCAGCCTTATGATTTTAGTTTGCTATCTTTTTTAAAGCTAGCTTTCACCTTTTAGTGTCGTCAGGAAGAAAACAAATAAATATGTATGACCAGTTTACCAAGTCAAAGCACAGCTCTAGGAATCAATTCTGAAACAGGGCTGAGATTGCAACTGCCCTGGCAAAATCTGCAAACTGAAAAGGAGTCATAGCTAGACAATGGCTTCTCCTCAAAACACTTACTCACTTACAGGAAGTTAACCTGGATTGAAGAAAAAAAATGAGAAACTAGTACCCAAAGCTTAAGAGAATTGCCAAAGGAAATCAATTACACAATGAATCTTAGAACTATTTATGAAAAACTCCTGATGTTGGGAGCGCAGTTCATGGATAGAGCACTTGTCTAGCATGCATGAAGCCCTGGGATCCTATCCCAGCACTGCAAAAACCAGCAAGAATAATGATGACAACAACGACAATTAAAAACCAAACCAAACCCCGCAAACCACCCTCCGTGTTAGGTAAGGCTGGTATTCCCTCGGGTGTTCCTTTAGATGCTCACCTTTTTCAGGTCTGCAGACAGTGGCGACCTGTCGATGGTCAGGCAGGGCTCGATCTTGTTCCGGAGCACAACAGGCTGCTGCGTGCCCGACGCCAGCTTCTGCAACTAAGCAACTTAGACATTAGACAGACACCATTGCCCCAAGCTAGCAGCAGTGCGAAGAACTTCACAGATTTCACCAGAAAGACCTGTGTGCGTATACTTACTGAAAACACCAAAGCCACTGACAAAAATGGAAGATCATCTATCACCCAAATCAAAAAGAGCACTTTTGTGCTGGGGATGTAGCTCTGTGGTAGAGTGCTTTCTTAGCATATGTAAGGTCCTGGGTTCCATTCCCAGCACCACAGGGAAGAAGGAAACAAAGGAAAGCACTTTCTGTGAGCAGTAACTGACTAGACAACTGTCAAAGGCATGTCTCCAGGCCAAGGTCCCTATCTAGGGAGCTTCTCTTCTACTCTCAGTCTGGATCGAGGAAGGAGGGGGACTTCAAAGCAAACAGCTTTCACTCCTGCTTAACCTTTCTCAGGGCTTGCATTACCTGCTGCAGATCAGAGATTCCATCAGCTCTCAAAGGATCAGGATTTAAAAACTGCAGTAATCTGAAAAGTAGTTAGAAGAACAAAGTGAAGAAACGAGGACTTATGTTATCTGGGCTCTTCCTTCAAAGCGGTAAAATGGACTATATATCCCAAAGCACAAATGTAACAGGACTGCATATTGGTTTTGCATGGTTCTAAGACACAAAGGCCATCCTGCTGGCCACGCCAGTCTCCTGCTTCCCGTCTGAACCCTGTATGGGCCTACATCTGGGCTGAAAGGACTCTACCATCTTTGTACTTTGCATGATATCTAACAGGGGACCAACCAAGCAAAAGAATCCCAGCGCTACTTCATTTCCTTTATTTTACAGATGACAAAACAAGACCAAATTGGGCTTGTCCACTACCACCTCTGCTAACTCAGAAGTCCTCTGAGCTCAGTCCCAACCTCACACAGATGGTAAGGACTACAGACAGCAGCACAGCATTACAAACTGTCTCTAGTGGCGGGGACTTTAGGGAAAGCATGGTAGATTAAGTCAACATGTCAAACTATACTCATTCCAAAGTCCTCATGCTTATAAATAGATGTTTAATACAAAAGCCACCAAACCCAAATGTCTACTAACTGATGAATTATAAATGAAAAAATGCTATATTCATGAAATGGAATATTACTCAGCCATAAGAAATGCAACAGAGAAGAATTTTCTAAAACATGCTACGTGAAAGAAACCACTTGCAAAGAACCACACACTGTGTGAGTGAAGGAGAGATGCACACAAGAGACAACAGTCCAAACACAATTTTAGAAACCAGAAACCAGAAACCAGGTGGGCAAATGGGTAACTGACTCGGCAGACACAGGGCAGTGGCGTCTCAGCCAGTCATGGAGAACAGCTCTCTGCACAAAGCCATAGTCAAGAAATCCAGAGGTAGGACCAAGCTCCTGGGCTATGGCAATGCAGCAGAGGCGTCTCTGGATCCACTCACACATCTTAATGTCGGGCGATGGGTGACCCACCCATCCAGGGAAGAGCACGGGTGGAGTTTCTGAAGAGGATAAGGGCAGAGCCTGACACATGGGGCACTACAGGCAGAGCTGAGGGTAGACAGCCACCCGTGCAGGGGAAACTAAGCACACAAGCACACACTGACTATGAAACCGCTGCCAGTTTCTGTCACTCAGCACGCAGGATGCCCACAGGCAGGACTTCATCCAGGCACAGGGACAGTAGTAGCGTTCATGGGGAGTGGCACCCAGCGTACAGGAAAGTCGGCAAAGAGACTGCATTCAGAAGTCCTGCAGCACGAGCAGCTTGTCCCTTAGAGCCTCACAGCCACACACGGTGTATTCTCAGAGATCCCAGGAATCTATGCAGTACATATGAACAGACAATCAAGGAGCACCAAGCATGAGACAAACTGACCTTACAAAGACAAAAACATAAAGAGAGTAATGCAAATATAGGGAGAAAGAAACAATGTGGTGAGAAAATACCGTCCCCTAAACTATTAGCACCCGAGAAAAATGAGAGAAAACAACACGTAGATGAAAGAAGCAGGTCACTTACAAAAACAGAAAAGAGAAACAAATGTGGTATTAGAAATAACAAACTCGGTAAATTTAGTAGAGGATAAAGTTGTGAAAATATTCCAAAAGTAAAGCAAGAAGACAGATAAAAAGTACAAGAAAAATGTGTTTTAAATGTACTCAATAAAATACTGCAAAATGAATTCAACACCACATTACAAACATCACATACCACGACAGTCCTTTCATTCTAGGGATGAAGGGACAGTTCAACATATGTAAGTCAAGAAATGTAAATACGGCACTTAAACGGGACAAAGGACAAAACCACAGGATCCTCTCAACAAATGCAGAAAAGGCTTAGACAACATTTAACATCCTTCACTGTAAAAGCCTGGAAGAAATGAGGAATAGAAGGAACGTTCCTCAAGTTCATAAAGCCTTTATATGATAAACCTATGGCCAACATCATTCCGAATGGGGAACAACTGAGAGCATTTCCTCTACAATCAAGAGCAAGGCAAGGATGTCCCTCTTTCCACTCTTATTCAATGCAGTACTTGAATTCGTAGCCAGAGCAATAGGGCAAGAGAAAGGAATGAAGGGACACAGTAGGAAAGGAAGAAATCAAGTTAGCCCGTTTGCAGACAATATGCTTCACTACTCAGAAGTCCCTGAAGACTCCACCGGGAAACGTAGATCTCATAAACACTTTCAGCAGAGTAACAGGATACAAAACCAATACACAAAATTAGGTAGCTTTGCTATACAACAGAAATCAGAAAATCAATCCCATTTACAATAGCCACAAAGGAATGAAATACCTAGGACTAAACATAACCAAGGAGGTGAAAGATCTTTACAATGAAAATTATAAAACAATTGACAAAGACACTAGAAAATGGAAAGCCCTCCCATGTTCACAGCTCAGCAGAATTAATATAGTTAAAATGTGCATATTACCAAAGGTGATCTACACAATCAACACAGTCCTCATCAAGATAGCGATGACCAGAGCTAAAAAAAAATCCCAAAATCTACATGGAAGCAGAAAACTCCCACAATAGCCAAAGCAACCCTGAGCAAAAAGAGCAATGCTGGAGGATCACTGTACCGATTCAAATTATTTTACAGAGCCGTAATAACAAAAACAGCACGGTGCTGACATAAAAACAGACACATGAGCCGAGGGAATAGAATAGAGGACCCAGGAACCACCCTCTAGGGACATCTGATACTCAACAAAGGTGCCAAAAACATATGCTGGGAAAAAAGACATCCTCTTTAATAAGTGCTGCTGGGAGAACTGGATATACTCATGTAGGAGACTGAAACCAGACCTACTCAAAATGGATCAAAACCCTTACCTAAAATATTCAAACTACTAGAGGAAAACATAGGGGAAACACTTAGAGATGTAGGCACAGACAATGACTTTCTGGAAAGGACTCCAGTAGCACAGAAAATAACGAAAATTGACAGATGGAACTGCATCGAGTTAAAAAACTTGATGCACAGCAAAAGAATTGATGGAGTGAGGAGACCGCCTTCAGAATGGAGGAAAACCTTTTCCAGCCATTCATCTGCCGGGAATTAATATCTAAACTACATAAAGGCACTCAAAAAAATAACACGAAACAATAAATGGGAAAACGAACCTCTCAAAAGAAGAAATATCAAGGTTCGGGCCACGGCTCACTCAAGTGGTAGAGTGCCTGAGTTCAAGCCCTACTATTACCAAAAGAGGAGGAGGAGGAGGAGAAATACAAATGGCCAGCAATGTTCAGTGTTCAACAACTTTAGCCACCAGAGAAATGCAAATTAAAAGTACACGTCACCTTTCCTAATGACTATCATCAGGAAAATGAAGGATGGGGAGAAAGGAATCCTTGCGTGATGTAAATTAGCCCAGGTGCTATGGAAGGCAGGAAGAACTTTCCTCAAAAAAAAACTAACAGCTGCTCTGCCACCTGACTCAGGTGTACCAGTCCCAAAGGAATCAGATCAACCTACGATGGAGACAGCCGCACACCCGTGTCTACCATCGCACGATCACAACAGTGCCCACCAAACGATGAACGCATGAAGAATATGTGCTGTCTGTACGCAATGGACGATTATCTAGCCACAAAGAAGAACGAAACGATGGCATTTGCAGGAGAATGGATGGAGCTAGAGACCAAAATATTAATCGAAGTATGACTAAGAAAGATATTATCATGTTTTCTCATATATGGAGATGAGAAGCGAAAGACGTGAAAGTTAGTGGGGGGACTGTTAGAGAAGATGGAGACTGGGGAGGGGAAGGGAAGAGAAGGTAGTAGAGGTGGAGATGATCAAAGTACATTATAAGAATGTCTGAAGAAGTTACAACATGAATTAGTAAACATTTCATGACCAAACCAGGAGGAGCAACATGAGTCACAGGAGCTCTTGAAAGAACACAGAATATGGAGCAGAAGTGATCAATGGAAAGTTGAGACTACTTCCTTGAAGTGAGGGACGAGCGCTTACAGATGGAAAGGGGCCACAAACTGCTGAGCGTAACAGAGCCGTGCCACGGTACAGCGTCATGATGCTTGTAAAACTAAGAAAACTAATACGGCAAGGTGGGGAGAGGTAGGGAAAGGGGGAAAACAGAGGCAGGGAGAGGAGGAGAGAGAGAAATGAGAGACAGAGAGAGAGATGGAGAGGGAGGGAGAAGAAAAAAGAGAAGAGCAGAGGAAAACAGTGGTGGACATAACAGGAACTGCAGAAATTAGAAGGTAGAAACACCTTTAAAAGGTTATTAAGCAACTATGGATCAAGGCGGAAGAGAGTCAAAGACATTTTTCAGCTTCGTGAGAATTCCATGTTTCCTGTCTCCTTCTCAGGAAGCGATTAGAGTGTGCTGTCCCCAAAACGAGGAGTCCAAGCAGGAGGAAGGCAGAAGACTAAGAAGAGGACTCCAGTCAGGCAAGATGCAGGGAAGGTCAGGATGCCGGTGACGATGGGTAGTGGATGACTCAGCACAGGCCAGGCCAGGGGACAGGCTCTGGAGAGGCCACCCAGGAGACCTGCGTGAAAATACTGCCAGCAGAGCAGACCTGTGGAGCTGAATTGGTGAAGGGACACAGAAAACTGAGCAAAGCAAGCCAGTACAAGAAGCTTTTAGGGCTTCTGGTAAAGCAGGAAGCTGCGCAGGAAAGCAGCCCATCTGTCCCCGTGTGGCTGAGCTGAGTGGGGACTTTCTGCCTAGACCCCCAGAGTCTGGGCAGAGGCTGGGGGTTCCGTTGGAGCCTGCTGTGGGGAACACAATGAGCCCAGCTCTGTGCACAGCTGCTCTGGCAGCAGCTCGGGTCAGCACAGCCGCCCAACACCAGGGCTCAACGGTCGGGGGAAGGCGTTTCAGTTCAGCCTTTAACAAGCACTGGTCTTCAAACTGATGCTGAAACGGTGTTACAAAGAATAAACCTGGGCTGGGGGCTGCTCCAGGGGTACAGCTAGCCTAGTACACAGAGACCCTGGATTCCAGCCTCAGCAGCCTTTGGGGCATGGAGGGCCCATGTATTTAGAGAAACCTTCCATCCACGTGGATGATACTAAGTAGGAAAATGTGCAAAGGTCCCCAGGAAAACAACAGAAGCATAAAGAACACGTACTACAGTTAGTATGAGGATACAAGAATCACGGGAAGGCAAAGAATTGCAAAGAAGCCGCAGGGTTACATTAAATGTCAGAGACGAACCAGTGGCAAGTGGACCCCACCCCACTCTACTACACCCACGGCAGACATGTCCCCCCATGAAGGAATGCCTCCTGCACGATCAACACTTTCTTCAACATAGTGCTGCAGGGAGCTGCTGCTAACCCAATGAGTAGGAACTCGTCTACCACAACAGCAAATCCCCACGGCCACCGATGAAGTTGGCCACAGTCAAAAATTAATTACGTCTGAGCTCTCGGTTAGCTCCAGAAGCTCCCAGAAGATGGAACAGGTTTTCCTGGACACCTGAGATCCTGACACATCTGCTATGTGGGCCGCTCACTCTCGATTAGACCCTGACACTCTCGGCCACCAAGGATCCAGAACTCCAGAGGAGAGGGTGGCATGCAATCCCAGACTGGAGAAGATGGCTGAATACACCGTCACCTGACGTTTGCAGATGAGCTCGGTGAACGACGTGAATGTAGGGCTGCAGCGCATAGATGTGAGGGATGCGTCAGTGGGACATGGAGGCGGGAAGAAGAAACAGACCCAACAGAGGAGGCTGGGAGGGCCTGGCCCGAGGTAGTCCTCCCAGCACGAGGCAAAACTCACAGCAACATGCCATGTCACTATGTCGTCTCCTTCCTCTACTTTGTCACCAATGTGACTGTCATGTGTGACGTTCTAAGAAACCTGCACATCCCCTACTGACCACCCGTGAGGAAAGGCCATCGCTCCTCCAGGCTTCTCACTACTCTGTCCAGAAGTAATGACACACAATTTCTCAAGATTTGGAGGTAGGGGAGCCAATACCCAGGACCACCTGCTCCGGTGGTCACCTGGATTTCTAAGAAACCCACTGCCTGTTTGCTTCATGAACCCCTTCAAGGCCCACCATCCTTGCACTAGCAGAATCACCAGTGGCTCTAAGCAAAGGGCTTTTAGCAAATCAGGAGGTCAGGAAGGCCAAAGCTTCTTCTGACACAGGAACAGAGAGACAGGAGAGTATTTCAGAGTTAATAAACCAGGTTATAATTTAATATAAGTGAGTGCAGACAAAGAAAGGCTCTTTAGTCTAAGGAAAATTAGGTGCTTTTTGGTTTTTGTTCTTTTGGCAGTACTAGGGTTTGAACTCAGGGGCTCATGGTTGCTAGGCAGGTGCCCTTCTTACTTGAGCCACTCCACCAGCCCTTTTCTGTGATGGGTTCTTTGAGGGTCTTGTGAGCTGTTTGCCCGAGCTGGCTTCAAACCTCGATCCTCCCAATCTCTGCTTACTGAGTAGCCAGCATTACAGGAGTGAACCACCAGCACCCAGCAGAAAACAGCCTTTCGCAACAGCAGAACCTTCCGGCATTGGGGGGAGGAATGCACTGGGTTGGGTGTTAATTTGGGTACCCTAACAGCTGACAGCACTGTGAGCTCTGGGGCAGCCTTCAAAGCTCATCGCCCTATTAAACTGAGACGAGTGCATGCTGGGTCAGAGGCCAGGCACGGTTCTGGGTCTGGAAGCCTGGTGGTCTGCTGGGCCGCGGTGACACAGCACAATTCGACTGACCTCTCAGCTGACACTTGGAATATAAAATTGTGAAAGCCAAAATGGTGTAAAAGAAGTCATAAAAATGGGCATAAAACATTTCGTGGATTAAGGTATAAAATGAAGTATCGCTCTTTGCTAAGAAGAAGACAGACAAAACTGGGAAGAAAGCAACCACCACCCCATAAACAAAACAGCCTCAAGACATGCACTACACCTAATTCAAGTAATTCTTCACCTCAAATGTAGCAGGAAGGGAGGAAGAAATGACTGCTTCTACAATGGAACAAAGGTTCAAAGGGAAAAACCTGCCCCAGCAACACAAATGGAAAAGCAAAAATCAGCCTCCCAGCCTAGAAGAAACTTTATTTTGGTTATGGGAATGCGGGTTCTATTTAACAACAAAATTTGTAAATTTCTCTTGCTTATATTTTCATTACAACTAGTGCAATGAACAAGTCAGGCCAAGGAGTTAACTCTTACTTCACACAGCCATTTTTCTCATCATAGTTTTTTTTCTCAGCCAGTCGAAGTGACTTCTCATTTGACTTCTGACTTAAAGCACTAGAAATCAAAACACAGAAAAAGTTATTAAATTTGTGAACCCTTTATCTGCAATTCTGAAAATATGTTAGTTTTGGGGAAAATGTTATGCATCTTAGATGATCTACCTAAGTGATTTTCTGCAAGAAGCTTTCAGAACCTGGAGGAATGAAAGCAGGCCTGACACTGTGCTGCTGTCCACATGGCCTGTACGCTGAACACACTAGACACGCTGGACAGGGAACAGGGCAGCAGGAAAGGAGGAAAAGCCTGAGGACAAACAGAATCCTGCGCACTTCCTCTTCCTGTTGGTGATGACTGAGGGAGGCCTGAGACATGGGACTCCGTGCAGAGACATGAAAATTCTGAGAGGGCTGGAGGTGTGGCTCAGGCAGTAGTGTGCTTCTCTAGCAAGCATGAAGCCCCAATTCAAACCCCAGTGCTACCAAGACAAATAAATACTGAAAGAATAATTTCAATACATGGACTCCATAGCTTTATTCCTGTGGGTAGAGAAACAGCACAGCCCATTACAGCCCTAGCCGGGTAGTCTGTGAAGGTCTGGAAGGTCCGCCCCAGAATATGGGGTGAAAAAGCAGCAAGAGCAGCTGCGGAGCAAAGGCATTTCTCCTGCAGGAGGCTCTCGCCCAGCCCAGCCCAGCCCAGCCCAGCCTAGCCCACCACTGTGTCCCTCAGCCCATGCTAGCAGCTTCTGGGATATAGAAAAACAACTAGGACATGACGTGTGCCTTTCTTAGGGATTTCTGGAATTAGAGCAGCAAGAAGTTTGAGACTGTGGCATCTGAGTTCAGGATGGGGAAAGGTTGATCAATGGCACTAAGGTATACTTAGAACGTTCTGGTACTGTACTGCACAGCACGAGTGACTGCACATACAGGCTTTGGGGTCCTTGGGGTCGTGGAACCAATACCCCAAGACAGAGATATGACTACCAAAGACGCTACGGACAGCTAAGGCTCTGGGCGAGCTGAGCCAACTTTGGAATCCTACCTTGCTCCTGGTATATCTGGATCAGCATAGATGGTGATGCCTCTTTTTGTTGGCCAGTACACTGAGGACTCAAGACACTGTAACAGAAAGAGCATGAAACCTGACAAGATCTCTATCCCGTGCAGGTGACCTTCAGTTGGAGTGACCCCTTCCACAGCCATTCCCATGACCCGCGTGCACAGACCAGCGTGCCGTTGAGGTCATCTCTAGACTGAATACCCAGGGACTTCAGCAGACCCCTGCATTGCAGACAAGCAGGACTTAAATGTCCTTCCATTACTTTCCCATCCTATCAAAAAAAACCCCAAAAAACTGGAGGTGAGTTAGAACCGAAATGAACTTTTTCCTCATTGTTTAGGTGAGCATAAAGATGCAAGGTTTTCATTTGTTTGTTTTTCTGAGACAGGGCTTCACTATGTAGCCTAGACTGGCCTCAAAGTGCTGGATTACAGTGTCACTCTAGCTTGGCTAGAGTGCAGTTGGAGTCACCTTCTTGCAAACAAGCA